GGATTAATAGCTTCTACACATGACTATGAGGACAAACATGAGTGAAACGGTCTCAATCCAAGGGAGGAACATCAAATGGACCAAATTTGGGAACCGGAAGAGGTAAGGAGTCCGAAATGTACCTCTGTGCCTCCACATTGTGGAAACTCACTTGTAGTGTATAAGATGAACTAGATGGACCCATACTTACCAAAACATGGATTAATAGCTTCTACACATGACTATGAGGACAAACATGAGTGAAACGGTCTCAATCCAAGGGAGGAACATCAAATGGACCAAATTTGGGAACCGGAAGAGGTAAGGAGTCCGAAATGTACCTCTGTGCCTCCACATTGTGGAAACTCACTTGTAGTGTATAAGATGAACTAGATGGACCCATACTTACCAAAACATGGATTAATAGCTTCTACACATGACTATGAGGACAAACATGAGTGAAACGGTCTCAATCCAAGGGAGGAACATCAAATGGACCAAATTTGGGAACCGGAAGAGGTAAGGAGTCCGAAATGTACCTCTGTGCCTCCACATTGTGGAAACTCACTTGTAGTGTATAAGATGAACTAGATGGACCCATACTTACCAAAACATGGATTAATAGCTTCTACACATGACTATGAGGACAAACATGAGTGAAACGGTCTCAATCCAAGGGAGGAACATCAAATGGACCAAATTTGGGAACCGGAAGAGGTAAGGAGTCCGAAATGTACCTCTGTGCCTCCACATTGTGGAAACTCACTTGTAGTGTATAAGATGAACTAGATGGACCCATACTTACCAAAACATGGATTAATAGCTTCTACACATGACTATGAGGACAAACATGAGTGAAACGGTCTCAATCCAAGGGAGGAACATCAAATGGACCAAATTTGGGAACCGGAAGAGGTAAGGAGTCCGAAATGTACCTCTGTGCCTCCACATTGTGGAAACTCACTTGTAGTGTATAAGATGAACTAGATGGACCCATACTTACCAAAACATGGATTAATAGCTTCTACACATGACTATGAGGACAAACATGAGTGAAACGGTCTCAATCCAAGGGAGGAACATCAAATGGACCAAATTTGGGAACCGGAAGAGGTAAGGAGTCCGAAATGTACCTCTGTGCCTCCACATTGTGGAAACTCACTTGTAGTGTATAAGATGAACTAGATGGACCCATACTTACCAAAACATGGATTAATAGCTTCTACACATGACTATGAGGACAAACATGAGTGAAACGGTCTCAATCCAAGGGAGGAACATCAAATGGACCAAATTTGGGAACCGGAAGAGGTAAGGAGTCCGAAATGTACCTCTGTGCCTCCACATTGTGGAAACTCACTTGTAGTGTATAAGATGAACTAGATGGACCCATACTTACCAAAACATGGATTAATAGCTTCTACACATGACTATGAGGACAAACATGAGTGAAACGGTCTCAATCCAAGGGAGGAACATCAAATGGACCAAATTTGGGAACCGGAAGAGGTAAGGAGTCCGAAATGTACCTCTGTGCCTCCACATTGTGGAAACTCACTTGTAGTGTATAAGATGAACTAGATGGACCCATACTTACCAAAACATGGATTAATAGCTTCTACACATGACTATGAGGACAAACATGAGTGAAACGGTCTCAATCCAAGGGAGGAACATCAAATGGACCAAATTTGGGAACCGGAAGAGGTAAGGAGTCCGAAATGTACCTCTGTGCCTCCACATTGTGGAAACTCACTTGTAGTGTATAAGATGAACTAGATGGACCCATACTTACCAAAACATGGATTAATAGCTTCTACACATGACTATGAGGACAAACATGAGTGAAACGGTCTCAATCCAAGGGAGGAACATCAAATGGACCAAATTTGGGAACCGGAAGAGGTAAGGAGTCCGAAATGTACCTCTGTGCCTCCACATTGTGGAAACTCACTTGTAGTGTATAAGATGAACTAGATGGACCCATACTTACCAAAACATGGATTAATAGCTTCTACACATGACTATGAGGACAAACATGAGTGAAACGGTCTCAATCCAAGGGAGGAACATCAAATGGACCAAATTTGGGAACCGGAAGAGGTAAGGAGTCCGAAATGTACCTCTGTGCCTCCACATTGTGGAAACTCACTTGTAGTGTATAAGATGAACTAGATGGACCCATACTTACCAAAACATGGATTAATAGCTTCTACACATGACTATGAGGACAAACATGAGTGAAACGGTCTCAATCCAAGGGAGGAACATCAAATGGACCAAATTTGGGAACCGGAAGAGGTAAGGAGTCCGAAATGTACCTCTGTGCCTCCACATTGTGGAAACTCACTTGTAGTGTATAAGATGAACTAGATGGACCCATACTTACCAAAACATGGATTAATAGCTTCTACACATGACTATGAGGACAAACATGAGTGAAACGGTCTCAATCCAAGGGAGGAACATCAAATGGACCAAATTTGGGAACCGGAAGAGGTAAGGAGTCCGAAATGTACCT